GCTTGACATAAATGCATCAGAGTCAGTTGAGAGACAGACCAGGGACAGAGCCAGCAGCTGCAGACTTGAATACATGTAAGAGTTTACTATATTTAGGGAGGCAAGATGGGACCAGCGGGGCTAAATGGTGGTTTTAACATAATAAGGAAATAAGAAATACATGATTGTATTCCTGACCCTATATTGTTCCTTTAAGCAAGAGTATGTAAAGAGTAGTTAGGGTTGCCACCTTTCTTGGAAAAAAATACCAGCCTTATACATTTGTATAATTAATTAGTTATGTGTCACATGATGTAAATAAGAGAAAATTCTGTAAAAACACCAACAACCTACTCACAGTTTGATTCTGCTATATAGATGGATTGCTCCCAGTGTCTCCCAGTCTCCCAGTGTCTCAGTCTTGCAAGTCACCCAGTCTCTCAGTGTCCCTATGTGTCACAGTTTCAGTGTTCCCATGTCGCCCAGTCCCCTAGTCTCCCAGTGTCTCAGTGTTCCCATTTCTCCCAGTGTCCTCATGTCTCTCTGTGTCCCCATGTCACTGAGAGACCCGGGGACATTGAGACACTTGGGGACACTGGGAGACATGGGGCACTGAGACACTTGGGGACACTGGGAGACATGGAGACACTGAGTCACTAGGGACACTGGGAGACATCAGGGACATAGACACTTGGAGACTAGGGAAAACTGGGAGCCATGGTGACACTGAGACACTAGGGACACTGAGACATGGGGACACAGACACTGGGAGACATGGGGACACTGTGTCCCTAGTGTCTCCGTGTCCCAATGTCTCAGTGTCTTCCAATGTCTCACAGTGTCCTCATGTGTCTCAGTGTTCCCATTTCTCCCAGTATCCTCTACTGTCTCAGTGTCCCCAGGCCTCCAAGTGTCCCCTAGTGTCTCAGTGTCCCCAGGTCTCCCAGTGTCCCCTAGTGTCTGTGTCCCCATGTGTCTCAGTGTCCCCATGTCTCCCTGCTGCCTTTCCCCCCATCCATCACTTACCTGAGCTGTAGAGCTGCTGTCTGGACTCTCTGTGCTGTGTAGCTGCTCCCCTGCGGATCAGTGTGTAGAGAGAGGCAGGGAGATGCTGTTACATCCTATCCCTGCCTCTCTCTACACACAGTGACCCCTACTGGCCAGTGCTGGTATTGCAGAGTAATTTTTGTTTATACTGAGAAAAATACCTGCATCTGTGTTGCTGGTATTTCTGCAATACTGGCACTGGCCAGGCAGCCTCAAATACCAGCTGTGGCAAAATACCAGTCAGGTGGCAAACCTAAGAGTAGTGTGTAAAAAAAAAAAAGAAAAAAAAAAGTGTTTTTTTTTTTTTTTTTAAATGGGCCTATTCCATGGGCCTGGGTCTGGAGCTGCAGCTCCATGAGCCCCTATGTTAATCCGGCCCTGGGCTTAAGGCTATCCTAACTATAAGATAAGGCTAGGACTAATGAAAGTATTTAGAAAATTGGGCAGACTAGATGGGCCGAATGGTTGTTTTCTGCCGTCACATTCTATGTTTCTATGTTTCTATGTTTAAATAAATAATGTGTTCGATACTATTCAATTTGTGCTCCTGCCTCTCTATTTGTTTATACTGCCTAGATATTACATCTGATTCAGAAGAGTATCCTGTTTTGCTATACTGTGGGTTTATCCCTCTCCATTGGAGCAATTCAAACCCAGAACCAGGGGTGATAGGGCTCTGGTCTATGTGAGTTGATCCCCAGATACACTTTAATCTTGCATACCCTGTATATACAGATAGCCTGCACTATATACTGTATATTTTTTCAGAGTACTCAGAGAAGACCCTGACTCCAGTGCAGTTGCTAGCGCACTCCAACTTTCTGGTATCTATTGCTAATTTGTGTCACTGTGTGTCACTTGGGGGTAGTGCAGCAGCACTGCAGATATTCTTGAGTGCTTTGACTCCATCTGGTTTTTCATAGAAGGGGTTAACGCCACCAAAGATGTTCCCTTCCCGAATACAAAGTCAGCTACCGAACAATCCTAAGCGCCGAACAGGAAAACACACGAATAATCCCCCCAAGTACGAGACGAGGCTCTGTATTAAGGGTCAAGCAGGAATCTGTTTAATGTGGGCTACATGCCCGACTTTTATGCAGGTCTTCCACCCAGGGACACTCCCATAAGGACCTTGTGGAAGACTGGGACAAGTTTTTACAGTAACCAATCAAAAGCAGACACATGGATAAACACTCCCACATCAACATTACAAACCCTCCTCTCTATCCTGGATTAAGTGCTAGAAGTAACTCAATTACCTCCAGGGATAGAGCATAACCTCAATTTTACATGAACAGTGAAATACAATATAAATATATATACTTCCCAAACTACCGAACAGAATCCCCACATTCAACGTATCCCCAGATAGCTCAGATCTGAGTGTACAGTATCACAGAATAGCGCTCAGATCCCATACACACAGTTCAATCGCCATGGAGCTAAAGTCTTGTACTAAGTGCGTTAGTTGAAACGAATGGACTATCTGGGGTGGCTCTGTTCGTATAGTCAATGTACCGAATCGCACAGGATTCGTATGAACTGGGAACAGGACGGAGGAGGGTCGGCGACTTCAGCTGTGTTCTTATGAAAGTAGTGTCCGATTTTAGTTCCATACATTTGTCGACGAACAGCCCACCAGTCGGGAGTGGAAAGTGTCTGCTGTTAACCACAATGTTAATGAGGGCAGAAAGGTTAAATTAAAGTAATCCAAAAACTGAGTGGTCTGTCACATTAACACTAAATCTAGTATAGCCTCCTTATGAGTTGGCTCTGTAGCAGGACTTGGGTAAACCAACTGGTTATCCCCGTTAATGTATTAAGAGACCCATTTTCCCAAGGTAACTGGATGACACATGGTTCAAAGGGTACAACGATTGACACTCTTTATTTTACACACAGTTTTTTATGCACAGGCCTCCACAGGGCGTTACCATCCCACACAACACAATCCCAGGCAGGAGGGGGCTGGGCTGCAGATAACCACCTCCCACTCTGGAAGATACCACTTGCACATGGATACACATTAAAACACATTACATTCAAGGGGTGGTAAACTTTGGGGCCCGGCACCCTGGAAAGGGAATGGGTTACAGGGTTGAAACTTAGATTGCTAAATAGCCCCAGTTCCCATCTAGGATCCCTGCAAAAAGCAGGCCAATCGGATGTACAGAGCCCAAGATATCAGCATCCAAAGTCTGGGGCTTGAGGCTCTGTACATCCCCAAAATTAGTTCCATGGTGTTGCTCAGTTTTAATCAGGTGAATTTAAACTTCTCGCCTAAACCAAGCAACAACCAATCAGCTGAAAGGGCACAAACTAAATCATGCCA